AAGGAGGAGATAAAAAGGGGAAATGAGATGTGATACTCCAATAGACTCTAAATTTCAAGAAAATTGATATTAGACTATAAGTTCCTTAAAAGAGATTGAGATGGGGTGTGTGCGGCTGGTGGGGTGGGGTCGGAGAACTTGTGGGGTTACGAGAAGACTCAGGTCCCACTCGGGGGCTTGAAAGTCCCAGAGCAGTCAGAGTGGCTCAGTCCGTTAGGCTAGATGTCTTTTCCAAGTATGAGCCACCTCCATCTGAAAGACAGAGGTGCAAGTTTCCTTGTTTCAGACAAGCGAAGGAGAACAGAACATAATCATTAGAGGTGTAGAAAGACAGCAAGAGAGAGCCAGTGGCATCAACATATGCCGTCCAGAAGTGGAAGGCAGAATTAAATGGTGGGCCTGAAACTAAGTCTTTGAAGATTCCAAAAAGGGTCTTAGAGACTGAGAGATGCTGTCACCAGGCAGAGGCTGAGAAGGTGGTGAATAGGAGAGTCTACTGTTCAGAAATCATTATAGTTTGTTCTTACAAGTTTGGCAGGTTCTTGGTGCAATTATATAACTACACATACATTTGGCGTATAGAGATGAATTATGTACTATGCATGTAATTACATGTAGCAAAATGTGTACTTTTATTTGGTTGGTATTTATATAGTACAGGGAATAGTGTACTTAGAAATAATTAACATAAAGTATTATTTAAAACACAAAACACATAAAAGTAGTTTGGTTTGCTTGAGAGAGAAAGAGAGAGAGAGAGAGAAAGAGAAAGAGAGACAGAGAGAGGCTGGAATCTTCCTTTTATTTATTCCTGTAATCTATGCCAAGTTGTTCTGGAAGGTAGTCACCAAAGACAAAAGGAAGAGAGCATAATTCCCCTCTGTTATTCATAATTTTTAAAGGTTTTATTTATTCATTTCAGAGAGAGGGGAAGGGAGTGAGAAAGAGAGGGAAAGAAACATCCATGTGTGAGAGAATCCTCAACTAACTGGCTGCCACTCTCACATGCCCCAACCAGGAACCTGGCCCACAAACCAGGCTTGTGTCCTGACCAGGACTCAAACTGCAACCTTTAGCTTTGCAGCACAATGCTCAACCAACTGAGCCATGCCGATCAGGGCTCCCAAGCCTTAGATTTAAGGAAAAGATCTTTTCAAATTTAAAGTGTGTCAAAACTTCTGTCTGGCCTTAGCTATTTCTAGATTTAAAATGTACAAATTCAGTCAACTTGAATTAATACCTTGATATAATTTTCAATTTCTATATTTGCAAAATTGAGATTTCTGTATGACTTATTGGGAATATGACGTATTTTTACCATGCATGAGAAAGTAGCCATGCCTTTACGTTTATTTGCGAACAAATTATGTGACCATTTGGCATTATGTATTGTCTCTGGTTATCTGAAACTTTTCATGTTGAAAACTATTCAAAACCAGTCTAATTTGAATACAAAAATATTCAGAAAGTGAATTAAGGTTTTAGAATGAATTTTTAGGTTTTCTTTTTAAGCATACTATGTAGGCTTCAGACTTATGATTTTTTTCATTGTGCTTGGACTGGGCTCAAACACTCCAGATTATTCTTCAACTTTCTCCAGATTATTTCGCAACTTCTCCAGTATAAATAAGATCTCAGAACATAAAGACTCTTTTGCGAAGGATTTTCTTTTGTTTTTTTATCATACCCTACATTGTAAGACATTTTTCAGCTTAGAAGAAGTTCTTGATGGTTAATTCCTTCAAGGAATTGGGTTAAGTGTATCAGAATAATTACTAAATTAGAATCCTTAAAAAACAAGGTAATGTGTTTTCCTTTCTTAGTGCTACCAAAGGAGGACCAATTTTGTAATAATCAACCCATATGGCATTTTAGAGAATTTTCGCCCTAACAGAGTTAATCAACTGTATGTAGATGTTGGGAGACGGGAGCATCCACCAAATGGCAGGAGGGTAGGAATGTGTGAACTCTGAAAAGTGCCTTACAATTTTCTGTAAGTTACATGCATCAGTATTATTGCATCCCAATATGGCCACTGAACTTTTCTTAGGCAGAAGAAAATGGGTCAGAAAAGAAATTTAGGAATTCCGGGCACCTATATTAGTTATTTAGTTGCTTTATTTGGTGCTAAGTTGTATTTCATTTAAAGATGTCAGGAACAGATATTATTTTGGTCAGTCCTTCCCATCTGATTACTTGGAATTTGATTTTTAGAAGCTGGGGACTTTAGTCATATACGTGGGGACTGGGAGTTTTCTTTTGCTAAAGGGAGAGCCTGAACGTCAGAAAGTGAAAAGAATGCCTCTGGATTGTTTTTCCTGTGCTTCACTCTAACATCAATTTTGAATCAAGATGCTTCTTGGTACTGGACCAATTCTCTTGCTAACCTGCCTGTTTCTCACACTCACACTTTGTTCGGTACGATTACAGCTATTATTCTATTGTCTTTGTAGGTGCTGATAGAGATCTGTGCCTTAAAACCTTTCCATTTTCTGAATGTTTTATACAGTATACAACTTTGTGGACTCACTACATTTGGATGGCAGCGGGTCTTCCTGACCTTCTACAGTGGTGAAACTGAAAGTCAGTCAGAGGGGGAAAGAAGGAAAAGAAAATAGCCTCTAAAAACAGATATAATTTGTTCTTACTCTGTCTATGCTCAAGAACAATAAAATGTACTTTAAAATGTTTTATAGGTCCCTGTTGATGAATTCACTAAGTTAAGATAATTTCTGATCAGTGGTTTATCTTGATGCCATTTTCAAGAGGTAACGTTTCGTGGTGCTGGCAAAGTTATTCTAACTTCCCTGCCTCCACCCCATAGACACCAAGAAGCCTGTATAACCCAAAACTTTGGCACAAGAAATCTAAATTTTATTTAGAGTTTAACCTCTGAGCTATTCAATGTAATGTTTTTCTAAGTCAAGTTAGCATGTAAATAATGTAAATATAACCAGAAATGTACCAAGGGTATTTAATACTCATCAAATTTATTTCTAAAATATTGCACTGGATTATTCGGAATCCTGAATTCCAACCAGATGTACTTCTGGAGTATTACACAGACCATATATATTTCACTTTTTTTTTTTTGTTGGTTCAAACCCAGGGGATTGACACGATAATTAGATTGAGAACATCTGCACCAAATCCAAACCATTTCCCTGATCCTTCCTTGAGCCTTCCCCAGGGAGGATTTTTTTTTATATAAGTCCCTGCACATTTTATTTGTCTAGCCATCGTTAAGGCAACCCCGAGGTCTCATCTGCCTGCCACCACACAAACAGGAGGGGAGGGCATCCGTACTCGCAAGTGTGGGATAAGGGAGGAATCGTTAGATGCAGCTTTTTTTCGGGCCTGGAATCGCCAGAGGTGGCAATGCCGTTTCCCGCCAGGGGCCTAACTATGGGACAGGGCGTGGCCAGGCGCGCGGCGCGCCGGTGGGCACGTGCGCGGGGACCGGAGGACATGGGAGTCAGGGCGCCGCTGCCCTCTACCGGGCGGCGCTGTGTGAGCTTGCAGCACGGCCGCGGGCCGACAGCTTGCGGGCTCCGTCGCCCCACACCCAGGCGGCCCTCGGCATCCGAGGTCCGGGTTGCTCTGCAAGGCGCGGCATCAAGGCACTTGGGGCCCAGGCTCCCACGCGCCCCCTGGGCGCCCGCGCGCTTCTACCCTCCAATCCGATTTTGCCGTTTCTGGTGGTCAAGGACGCAAGGATGGGGACGCCAGGAGAACCCCTCTCCAGATGTTCCTCCACTGCAGGAACCACATGTTGACTCAAGTGAAGCTTCTGGTCAGCAGTACGAGACCAGGGGGCTCCTGTGTTCTCTAAATCCTAGGCACTTTCATTTCCAGCACTTTCATTCCAAAATGCTGAATTCGCTCCAATGTTCAGCGCCAAACTTTCGAACTCAGTTGAACAGCAATTATATCTCATGTTTTATTTTGTATTCCACACATATTTTATTTACATATAAATTTCAAGATTAAGGAGTTTGGGGATTTAACTAATTACACTTTAAATGAAGTGCGGGAGTAAAAGTACAGTATTCCTACTGGAAACTCTAAAAACTCACACGTGTATATAATCAATTAAAGATGATGATCATAAAACGTGTGTTTTGCCTGGTTTCTGCGACGAAAAAAATTTCTAGAGAGTTGACTTTTTGGTTTAAATTTCAGCATTTCTGTAGACTAAGGACTATGCTTTCTGTTATAAGTGCACCCACGCTTTTCAAGTTTCTGCACCCATAGGAGTGAAAACCGAGGTGTCTAAACTACAGGAAGTTTCAGGGCTATTCCGCTGAAGTGGTGTGGGGGGAATACGGAGCTGGGCTTCAAGACTTTTCCTGTCGTGGCCTAAACTGGCGTAGCTCAGACGCGCTGGCCACCCGGGTTTGCGGTGCGGTGCGGTACTGTGAGGCGCGCTGGCCACTCGAGTTGCAGTGAGGGGGCCGCACTGCCACTGCTGCTGCCACTGTGCGGGCCATTAACTTGTGTGGCTACTAGGGTCAAGGGTGCTTTCCCTCAACTCCAGTCCTCCCAGCATGAAACGCTGTCCCTGGCCGGCTCAGTCTTTGAGTCCCGCTGAGGTACACCTGGTGGGTGTGCGGCCAGCTCTCCCCGCACACGCCAGCCACGGTGGGCCCCCGCGGCATGGAGTGGGGACTCGGGCAGGTGGTCGCGGCAGCTCGGCGCGCTCGGCGTCCAGCTGGAGGGCGACCAAAGCGGCGCTGTTTCCTAGCCCGCAGCCCCCAACCTAAGGCACTGAAGGGGCGGCCCTCTGCAGCAACCGCGACCCCCGGGGGCCCAATACTCAGTCCAGGTGAGCCGGGCCCCGAGCCTCCAGCGGGGACTCGGAGCACCCCTCCCGCTGCCCTTCAGCGCCCCCTCGGGGCCGGGACCGCGGCAGCGCCCGCTGGGGCTGGGGGCCCGGGAGGGGCGGGGGTCTCTGGCTAGGTGTGGGACGCGGGGGGAGGGGGCAGCGGCCGCGCGCGCCAGGCCGGGCGGCGGCCGCCGCGCCCTTGGGCTCTGACTCCGGCTCCGGCTCGGGCTCGCTATGGCTACGGCGGCGCCGTGAGGAGGAGTCCGCGTCCTCCGTGGCGGCGGCGGCGGCCGGCTCCAGGCCGGGTTTTGGCGCCGCCCGCCTGCTGCCTCCTGGCGGCTCCTGAACTCCAGCCCCCTCTCTATCAGCCTCTCACTCCGTCTCAATATGTCTCAAGATGGCGGCCAATGTGGGATCGATGTTTCAATATTGGAAGCGCTTTGATTTACAGCAGCTGCAGGTCAGGCTTCTCCGCGCTCGGCCTCTCGCCCGGGGGTGGGGGCTGCGGGCGGTCGCGGCCTCCCCCGGGGCCCCGGGCTGCCCGGTCGCCGGGGGGCCGCGGCGGCGGGGAGGAGGGGGGTGCCGGGGAAAGCCGGGCCGAGTCGGGGACAAGTCCCTCTCTCTCCCCGGCCCCCATTGATAACTCGCTTGATCAGAAATTGATCCTCTTTGTTCAATTCATCGATCAGCCCAAGATGGCGCCGGGAGCCGCCGCCGCCACCGCTGCCCCCGGGGTCGGCCCCCACCCCGGGCGCCCCCCCGGCCCTGAGCCGCCGCCGCCACCGCCGCCGCCGCGGGACCGGGGAGGGGGCGGCCCCGGCGGCCCGCGGGGTGCGCACGCGAGCGGTGAGCGGGTGGCGGGCGGCCGCGCCGCGCCGCGCCGGGAGGGGGCTGCGGCCCGTCGGCGGCCCCCGGCCGCACGCCCCGCGCCCCCAGCCCGCCGTATTCCTGGGGAAAGTTTGTGGGGAGTTGCTGTGGGGGGTGAAGCGCCTGCTTCTCCAGGAGGAGCCGCCGCCGCCACTGCCGCCGGCGCGGCGGAGCTGGGGCTGGTGGCGCTGTGGTGCCGCCGGCTCGGGGGAGGGTCAGAGCGGCCACCGGCGGCGGCGGCGGCGCGGCCCGGCTCCGGCCAGGCGGGCGGGTGGCCCGGCGTGCGGGCGTCGTTGCTCCACGGCCCCGGCCGGCCGGCCCCGGTCCCGGCCGCTGTCCCAGGCTGTCAGCGGGCGGGCCGCGCTGCCGCTCCCGCATTAGGCGTTGGGCTCCTAGCATGGACCCCGGGGTTTGTTTACGCCCGGGCGGACGCCGGGGTCCACCCGCAGACCCCGCAGCCGCCCCGCTCTTTTGTGTTCCTATAAAAGTAGCGCGGACCGACTCCTCGGCGGGGGAGCCGGGTAGGGACGCTTTGGGGAAACTTGCGAGGTGTGGCGGGAGCGCCCCGCGTGCGGACCCCGTGTGTCAGGGAGTCCGGGAGCGCCTGGCGGTCACCCGTGCGGGCACGGGCGGGGGTCTGCAACTTTTTCGTAGCGCAGGCCCGGCGCTGAGTCCCGACGCGCCGTTTGCCCGTGCGAGAGTCACCTCCTCCCTGCCGCCTGTCCCGGCGGCCCTTGCTCGGCGCCGAGTCTATAGCGGCCCTCAGTAACTCTCCCACTCCCCTCTGGCCCTCTCCTCCCCGGCCCTGCCCTTTCAGCGGGTCCGCGGTGCGATGGAGCGCGCGGCGGATAGACTCCGAAATGCCTTTTCGGGTCGGGTTCTGTAAAGCAAAGCCCCGGGGGACCCCCCGGACTGTGGTGTGCGGTGTCGTGGTCTGCGCTCCGAGTCCTGGACGCCGCGGGGGGACCATGCCGCGGCTCCCCAGCAGGCTCCCAAGCTGCCGCTGTACCCAGGGGGCGCGCGTTCTTGCCATCCACCTCCCACCCGGAGGAGCGGCGCACCCTCGGAGTCCACCCCGAACCTGCCAGCTCCGCGCTCGCGGCGCCTGGACAGCTTCGGTACTCTGCCAGGTGGATGTTGTGCGTAGCAGGAGCCAAGTTGAAGGTGAGCGGCTTGTGCGCCAGAAGCTCCGTGAGCGTTGGGGACAATCTGCGGCTTAGAAGGGCCCCGGGAAGCCTTGCGCTCCGGGGGGGTCTCTCGGCGTCCCTGGGGGCCGGCTACTGCTCCCAGCTCGAAGGTGTGCGTGAAGGTAAACTTGGCCGAACTTTCCTAACCTGGAGGACTGGTGATTGTGACCTACAATACTTTTAGGAAGAAAGCAAATGAAATCCAGATGCCGGCTTGTATGAAATCAAGCGGATTGGATTAAAACATATATAAATGGAGTCTGACAACTTTAATTGTATATGCTTGTTTTCTGCCCTTGCCTACATAAGGACGATAACGCAGACTCATCGTCGTTATGAAATTTCTTCAGATTTCTCGCTTAACTAGGAAGAAGACTATGTGAAATATGTATTTCCGATAAGATTAAAACTTAAAGGAGTTTGAGTATTTATTGACTAAAATAGATTACTCCAAAGTGTCTATTGTGTAAATTAGATTCCTGAATGTAATGAACACAGCCAAATGGCATTTTTGATAAATTGGTCTACCCTGTTTTAGTAAAAATAGCTCCCTTTTACCATAATTTAATTCTTGTGCTTAAAGTAAAACCCGTTGTGGAGTTTTAAGAGACAAAGCTTAATTTTCTTTTTTCCTTTCCTTCTTTCTTTTTTTCTTTTTCTTCTGGTCTTCCTGATTGTGACATTCTTTTTTAAGCATTCTGGCAAAACTGCCTGGGAAATGGACTTGGTTTCTAGAGAGTTATTAGATCTTACTAACTCTTTGACAATTGCCCCCTGCCCGCCAAGTGGTTAGCTACTTGTTCAGGATAGCATAAGGACATTTGACTGTGTAACTCTAGGATTCGATGGAAAGTTTCCCTGTCAGTTTATGTGAATGAACAATCAGATGTTGATCTTGAATTTTAAATTAAAAAACATTATTTTGTTTCCTGAGCACTCACTGACTTTTGATGTTAGATATGATTTGGCCTTAGATGATTTTCTGTTGCTGCCTCATCGCATGTTTGAAAAGTTTCAGTTGACTATGGACTGCCAAAATTCAAAGTATAAGGCTGAACTGGTTCTTTCTCTGGGCCCTGAAGAGGCCTTTTGAGTTGATATCTCATTTAGCGTCATCTCTATTCCCACAGACAGTAAGTGACCCAATGAGACTGCAGTTTGAGAAGAGAGAATTCATTAGTTTCAGATTCTTCTCATCTTTCCAGAACCCCTTCCATTGCGATCAGGTTGCCTGTAGAGCCCAGTGTGGGCTGTGGCATTGATACCTGAGGGTGAAGAGGCTGGTCTTAACTAGACCCAGATCCATGTTTGAGACTTCAGTGGGTCTGGGCAACGTAAGGCCAGATGTGTGCCTCCCACAACCGTGAGCCAGGGCTGTGCTCTTGACCCTCTACTTGGTCTGTCCAGCTGCCTTGGGTGGCGGAGTGAGTGCCCAGGAAGAGAGTTTCTGAACATTGAGCTCTATTTCATTTCCTTTTTAGTCCCAAAGGCTGTGGTATGGAAGTTTCTGTGCTCTTGTGTTGCGAAGACTAGTTGGACAAGTTTTTATCCTATCCTACACTTGTAAAAACCAGGCTTTTTTTAAAAAATTAAAACATGATTGTATAAATTTGCTGTTTAAACATACATTTGAAAAGAGGACACCTAAAACAAGCTATTGTAACCCTGTATGTTAGTGTAGCTTTTTGGGATGGGGTCTACCAGTGACTTGCTTTCCTTTGGGGTATTATTCCTGCATGGTGACTAGTGTCCTCTAAGGAGCTTCTCTGTAAAAATTAACTTTAAACGTTTTCCTCTTTTTCAAAGCAAGAAAGCAGTTTCAGTTTTGCTCTAAGTCCATTTATTTTGTTTTCTCCTGTTAAGGAAGTGTGTATGTTACCTGTCACCCCTTGACTGTTCCCATAAGAAGTATATTATTTTGATTGAAATTATGTATCTCATCGAGTAGCTTTCATGAAACAATGAGTAAACTAATCATGGGTTTCTATGCTGCTGCTGTCTTTGTTTTCCTGGTTCTTTTAACATTGGTGTCTTTGAGATTGGGTAATGGGAGGGGCCGTTATCAATTGATTAAAGTTTTTCTCTGTGACATGTGTAGGGGTTGTGTGTGTGTGTGTGTGTGCAAGTCAGTGAAGATGAACTTGGGCAACAACTTCTGACACTGTTGGGTCCGTCAGAAGTTCATCTGCTTCCCCAATTTTCCCCATCTCCTGCCAGGAGTTAGTTGCATGAGAAAATTGGAAGGGGAAAGGGACAGATTGCCAATTACCTCAGGAATTATTCTCTCCTAATCCACAGAGCTAACCTTAAAAGTGCTGTCTGGTGAGCTGATTGAGCCTAAGATCTTTAATGGCTATTGAAAAAGCCCTCCCCACTGATGTGTACAATTAGAGCAAATACACCAGGGTTTGTGTGGGAGCTGTGGGGAAACAGTAGTCTGTGCCCCCGTGGCCCGCTCCCCACATCTACCTGGAGCAGTCAGCAGTCAAAATTGCTCCTCAGGCTGGCTCACAGTCTGTCTTAGGAGAGAAAACAGGTTCGAAGTAGAAAAAGCCATATTCATTTCAGCTGGTTTACAAAGCCCCAGACGCATTTGCAGAAAACTGAAGGAAGGACAAAATTGTTAGAGGAAAACTTGCCCTATTTAAAAAAAAAGATTTTATTGATTTATTTTTAGAGAGAGGGGAAGGCAGGGAGAAAGAAGGGAGGGAAACATTGATCTGTTGCCCCTGGATAGGTTGTATCTTGGTTGCCTTTCTTAAGTACCCAGACCAGGGACTGAACTCGAAACCCAGGCTTATGCTGTGACCGGGAATCGAACCTGTAACCTTTTGCTTTGTGGGATGATGCCCAACCAAGTGAGCCATGCCAGGCAGGGTACAAATCATTCTTTTTTTTTTCTTAAGGGGAAAATAAGTTCTCTTAAACGTGTCCTTTTTTAAAAAGATAAATTTAACATGTGAAAAATCCTACAGAGCTAGGCCAAATTCCCATTTGCGCTTCCATTATGTAGTTCACAGATTTGGCCCCGTGTAAATTTCATGTATTTAAAAGACAGATGTATCTGATGGACTGTAAAACAAGCACTATCTAAACATTTTTATAGAAGTTATTCTAACATTATAAGATTATGCATAATTTTAGAAATTATTTTGAAACCTATTTAAAATTAATGGGTAACTTTAAAAAATATAATTGCTTTTCCTTTGAAAGGTCTGATTTTTACAAGTAATTGTCAAAGATAGACATTCGTATATCTTGTCCTGTTGTTTTGTCTGAAGCTCTGCATTATGGCTGCAGATAGTTTTGGTTTCAACTGAAATTCCCCTGCCTCTGATTGTTTAAACCAGACCCGTAATCTTATTTTAACATACTTAAAATGTTCAAAAAACCCGGAAGAATTGTT